AACCAGAAGAAATTCGTAATACCCGAATCAATGATCCCAAGCCTGCTGAAGGGACATCACGATGAGATGGCCCACTGCAGGGTCGAAAAGACATTTGAAGGCATTGCACAAAACTTCTGGTTCCCATCTATGAGGAAAAAGATACACGACTACGTCGAAAACTGTTTCACCTGCCTGATGGCTAACAGTTCCAGCCACGCTAAAGAAGGCGAAACGAACCTTTACCCCCTTCCAAAAGCGCCACTTGAAACGTTACACCTCGATCACTACGGGCCGTTGGAACCAACGAGCGACGGTTACCGACACATACTAGTAGCGGTTGATGCCTTGACACGTTTCACTTGGTTATTCCACACCAAATCGACGGGAACGAAAGAAATTGCTAAAGCATTAAATAATATCATTTTTACGTACGGAAAACCGACACAGATTATTACGGACAGAGGCACAGCCTTTACGTCCAAAGAATTCGCGGAATTCACTAAAACAAACGGCATCATGCACCGAAAGGTTGCGGTACAATCACCATGGGCGAACGGACTAGTAGAGCGAGTCAACCGCTTCTTGAAAAGCTCACTAACCAAGGCATTAAACAACGCGACAGATTGGAAAAAGAACCTCGGTTCAATCCAATATATAATAAATAACACCTTTCATTCAACAATCAATTCGAGTCCCGCGAAACTTTTCCTCGGTTTCGACCAGCGGAATCACGCGGATTTCGCACTGGCCCAATTCACACGGGCCCTAGTCGGCGTAGACGTAGACCTAGAAAAGGAAAGAATCAATCGCACGAACACGGCACAACACGCGACCGAATTATTACGAAAATATAATAAGAAATATCGCGACTCTAAATTAGCGAAACCAACGGTTTATAAAGAGGGAGATTACGTACTAGTTCGCAACCTCACAAACAAACCGGGCGTAAATTCCAAATTAAAACCGAATTACAAAGGACCATATTACATACATAAAAGCTTGGGCAACAACCGTTACGTGGTGAAAGACATACCCGGCTTCAACTTAACACAGAAACCATTGGACACAATACTGTCGGCGGACAAATTAAAACCATGGATCAGGCTGGAGGCGACACCGACCGACTGATTCTAAGTATAAATTGAGGGACGATTGTATATACATATACGGGAGATAATTACGTTAGATAATATAAAATAACTGTTATTCACAATCTAAGCATAACCGTATACCTAATATAAATAAAATAAAAATAAGAATATTCGTAATGTTTGGTAAAGGCGACAAAGTATAAAGTTTACATAAATAAGTTAACCGGTAAAACATTATTACGTGATAAGACACGGACTACTGTGCCTAATTAAGAATTGTCTCTAACATATGCTAAGTCGTGATGAATGTAAGTAATAAATTTAGTTTTGAAATAATCACGAAAGGCTAGTATAGTTATAAATAATAAATGTGTTAGTCTCAGTAAGTTATAAGTTGATGTAAGTACATTATTTAGCTTGCATACGTTGGTATGCACTTTTCGCTTTCGAGTTGAGTCATATAAGCGACATAGTCATGGTGCACGGCGAGGATACGACCCCACACAGATAACACCAATCTATCCGCGCCCTGCACCCGACAAAACTCAGGCAATTCAAATCATCCGGCAACTTCGAGCCGAAGTTGAAAATCAGGATGGCCGAGTTGAAAGATAGCGGCCGCCAGCTCCGACAGGGCGAGCCGGCCCTGGCCGAGCAGGCGGATGAGCGGCCCAACCGAAACGGCCAAAAACACGGATACACGGGTTCACGTGGAAAACGCGTGAACACCGTCGAGAAGCTTCGACCAGCGGGTCGAAGCGCAAGAAGCGAGCGAAACGCGGCACTCGCCGCCGGGACGGAACGTGGCACGCGTCGCTACGCTCTGCGAGTGTTCTCAGTTAAAGTGTTACAGTTCTACCGAAAATAAAACGCCTTAGTTGATCTCTACCGAGTGATCTCTTTTCCCCTCTCAAAATCCCGGCCCTCGGCAACGGCCACCTGGCCCGGCAAAATAGACGTAAAGTCGGCGGGAGACCTCCTTACAATACAGTGTTTGTTTTAGATCGAGTTAGTGCGCCTTGCGGCGCGTTGCAAAAATATATCTACCGAGAAGCGCGGTAGTTTAGATTACGCTCTCGGTAAGATATGTGAGGGGCCGTAATGGTCACCCTAATAGGACCGTATGGGCACTCCGGTTCCGGCTCGGATTCAGATTCGCTCGTAGTCCAGCCTTTGGTTTGCGTGCCTTGCGAGCGTACTTCCGCGGCTGCGGTCTGCGTCGTCTGACACCTTCCCGTGCGTGGTGGAGATCGCGGCGATGGTGGCAACGGCGAGACCGGAGAGAACAGGCGTGCTTGTATGTAACGTGGGCTGGTGAAGCGCCGCACGCGTAGATCCCACGGGCTTATGAAGATCCGCGGTGGTCGCGTTAAGCGAGGTGGAGAGAGCTCGATCTTGTGTAGCTGCCACGGCCGGTACTCGATGCAGCGTAGGTGTGGTCGGCCTCGTCGAGTCGTTGTCTCTGCTGGCACTGGATCGGGAGTCGCCGCTCCGCTCTCTGTAGGCTCTGCCGCAGCTCCGCTCTCTGTAGGATCCGCCGACTGCTTTGGTCCCTCGTCGAATGGTACGATCTCGCTGACTGCTCTCGGTAGATCCTCGGTGTTGGTCTCGTCGCAGGAAGGCACTCCGTCTGCTGGTTCCGCTCGGGGTTGTCTCCTCGGCGTAACAACTGCTCGCGGCTTGCTGGTGCGCATGAGTCCTCGATACGTCACTAGGAATTATCTTTGGAGTCGATTCGCAGAGTTGGCTTATCTCCGCTCCCTTTTATACTGTAGTTCACCGTTTTTCAATTCCGAGAATGTTATTGTTTTCATGCGGCTTCTAGCGGTGTCTCGTGGAGTTTTGCTCCGGGGGTGTCTCCCTCGGATTGAATGTTTTCGCGCGCGTCGCGCGCGCGGTCGCGAGTTGTATTGTGGT